CGCGTCTGCCTCCCTGGACCGCCGAAGGCCTCTGTCTGTGCTGCCCCGGCCGGCTGACCCCGGGCTGGCCACCTCCAGGAGGGCGGTGACCACTGTGCCCTGCCCCCACCCCCACGGCGTGCTTACCTCGGCCTGTATTTCCCCTTGTCCTGCGCTGACTTTAACCTGTTGGTTGGTGAGGCCGGATGGGCAGGAGGAGGCAGGGAAGGGGTATCATTGGGACAGCGGGTGGGATTTGTCTTTTACAGCCCTCAGGGCAGCTCTCTGGCTCTCTTGTACTTGGGGGGAGGTGGAGGGAACCAGCGTGGGGAAAAATGAAAGTGTGGATTTGCAAACCAGGGCACCCACGCCCAAGAGGATGCAGGTGTCCTGGGGAGTGGAGATGAGACCCAGAAGGGATTAATTTCCTAAACTTGGGGAACCTCTGGAGATAATGTTAGAATCATTTTCCTCCTTGTGTCTCTTCCCTGACTGTGGCTTCCTGTTCTGACTGTGGCTCCCTCCCTTTTGCCCCTGCACCAACTGGGAGAACCACAGAATGGCCAGAGCAGGCGTGAGGTCTGTGCCCAGGGATCAGCTCCAAGAGGGAATCCGGGCTAGCTCTCTTTCTCATTGGGCCCATGGGACCAGCTCTGGGTCGGAAGAGCACTTTATCAGGCACCTGCTTGAGTGTGTCTGCTCTGGTCAGCTCTGCTAAGGCTGTCCACAGTCCCACAAAGTGGCAGAGACTGAGGCGCAAAGAAGTTGAGGACTGTGCCCAGGTTATGCCAAAAGATCTGAATCAGCTGACGCCTCAGCCTGTGGCTTCCTGCTCCTGCATGGGATTCAGGAAGAACCGGGCTTTGCCAGGGAGCAGCTGGCAGGGGAGGAGGCCCAGCCCTAAGCCTGTCAGCAGGTTCATCCAGAGGAAGGACAGCCTCTGCCAGTTTCCTCTCTGGTGGCAGAGCCGGTGCTTTGTGAGAGTGTGGGCTGGGACCTCGAGGAACTCACATGCTGGCTGGGTTTCCAGTGATCTGACAAACCTACTGCAACTGGTTCTTGGCAAGGCTCTCCCTCCAAACGTGCCAGGAGGGCTGAGGAAGTTCAGCACCGCTCCTCCAAGCACTGCCAGGCTGTTGAAGAGGTCCCGGTTGGTGGGAGGTGGTGGGCAGAGCCCCCAGGCAGATGGAGGCCAGGCCTGTAGCCTGAGTAGAGGGTGCCTCTCACAGGACATCTGGGAAGGAAGCCCTGGAGGCTGAGCTGGAAGGAGGCTTTCCTATAGAGCTCATGGAGGTGTCTCCCCTCAAAGGGTAGTAGGGGGGGCAGCTTACACCTGAAGCCTGTGTAAGGTCTCAGGCAAGGCTCCATGTACTTGTGCTGGGAATGTGGGCTCAGTGCCAGGGCTTGATGGGCAGCTCAGTCCCAGGGGGCAGGGCCTCAGGGAAGCCCCTAAAGACAGGGGTCATTATTCCCACTTTAGAGATGAAGAAACTGAGGCCCAAGAAAGGGGACCAGCTACTCCTCAGTGGCTTAGCTAGGACATGCACCCGGATTAGTGCAGAAACAGGCTCAGAATCCCTGTCTTTATGGCCCTCTGCTTTGACCATCACCTGCTGCCTTTGTCCCCACCCTAATCCAAAACTCTCACCAGGCTCAGCACTGTGAGGGCCTCTGGGGGAGTCTTGTCATTTCTCAGAGCCCCTGAGCAATGTTCCAGGTGAGGGCTCACATGGCATGGTCCTTTACCAGGGCAGGGTACTGATGTGCCCCCACCTCTTCAAACATGCAGCCTCTTCAAACATACCCACTCAAGCCTATCTTGTGACCTCTGCTCGTTCTTAGACCCTAGGTCTTATGTCACTTCCTCCATGAAGTGCCCCTGTAGAAGCACCCGGCACCATGAGAACTTCCCTGTCCCACTCTCACAGCCATTTTGGAGGGGTAGGGAGGAGGGAGGGTCAGGAGGGCTCCATGGAGGTGGCAGTGGTTGTGCTGAGCTTGGCATGAAATAGCTGTCCTCCATCTGACCCACATTCTGCAACTCTAAGGCTGGTGGAGGAAGGGGGCCTGCCTATCAAGTTTGGAGTTTGTCCTGGGGGCGGGGGTGGGGGGTGGCGGGGAGGCAGCCCAGGTGGCCTTGGTAGGAGTTACATGTTTCTGTTCCTCTGGGTATCTCTGAGGCTCTCTGATACCCAGGACAGCGTCAGGCACAAGTGGAGAGTGATGGGTGGGTGAATGGTAGATGTCCTGGGACTGGAGCCTAGAGGAGGCTACATGGTATTACCCAAGATTCGTGGGTCTCAGAAAATTTTAGAATTCTTTTCCCTAGTGTCCCTCTTGCCTGATTGTGGCCTTCAGTCACCTATGAGCAGCTGAATGCAGCAACTCAGGGCTGGAGTCTGACCTGACCTCTCTCCAAAAATGTTTCAAACATCATACTAGCCAAATAAGAACATCTTGCGCACTTGTGGCCCAAGGTTGAGCACAGGCACTTGAGCCCTGACTGAGAAAGCTGTGGGGTCCATGACTCCAGGACCAGCTAAGATGATGAGGATGTAACAATAACAGTAAATCCCTAAATTAACTATTGCGTGAAGCTGAAATGTACTAATATATGAGAATACACTGATATATGTAGAGTCACACCTACACCACAAATGCCAGGTTGTTGGCTACTCAGCACTTTACACACACACGTGTGTGTATATATGCCCCCTGCACACATGCATGCATGCACAGTACCCACACATGCACATATACACACGCTTTTCCCTAAAGCACTGATGGTATCACTGGGTACACTCCACATGGGTGTGGTTTCTAAAACACACGGGCGAAGTCTTCATCCTTCCTAGAAGACACAGAAGTATACTTTGCCTTTTGGTTGAGGAGGGTGAGAAGGAACCTTTACTGCGTCCTGCTCTATGGCAGGCATTGTACTGGGGATTGATGTGTCATCTTTCTAAACAGCCATTGTGTGCAGGAAGCCAAGAGTCCTACTGCTCACTGGCAGGGGAGGGTTGATCCTCTCTCTGGGTGACTCACCATCCAGGTCTCAGGAAGCCACATGCCTGGGCTGCTTTCACTGAGACTACGGCACTGCCTGCAAGGGAACCTTGACATCGCGCCCCCGGTACACCCAAATCCACCCTGCTGCGAAAGGCTCAGCATTGTGGATGTGGAAGACATAAGGCATTCCCAAGGCCTTGGGAAATTTGGGACTGGGAGAAGTCTGTTTCTCATGTTCCTCTCACTGCAAAATAGAGAGCTCTGTGATCTCAACTCCTGCTTTTTGCCTGGGCTACCAGGAACCTCTTAATCCAGCTGTATATTTGGTGTCATAGGTTTCTCCATCAAACGTTCCTCTACTTTCTCTCTTCCAATATCCCTCATTTGTTTTCATGTCCTATACTAAAAGTTTTGGATTTTTTGCTTCCTGATTTTTTTTTTTTTGCAAGTGTTATTGAAATGTAGCACACAGAAAAATCTACAAATTACAAGTGTACAGTATGAAAAATGGATTTTCTCAAAGTGATCACAGCTGGGTCGAACAGTGTCCAGATCCAGAAACAGTATTCCCAGCGTCCTACGAGCCACCTTCTGGTCACTGAACTACCAAAGTAGTTATGTCCTGACCTTGTTTTCCACTTTATATAAACGGAGTCATGAAGTGTGTGCTCTGGGGTTGGTTTCTGCTCACAATTTAGTCCTTATTTTTGTTTTTATTTTGGTAAAATAGACGTAACATACATAAAATTGAACATCTTAACCATCTTTGAGTGTATAGTTGAGTGGCGTTAAGCACAATCATAATGTGCAACAGTCATCACCATCATCTCCAGAACTTTTAAACTATGCCCATTAAATAATAATCCCCAGTCCCCACTCCAGGGGACTCCAGGCCCTTTCTACCTTCTCTGTTTTTTTTTTTTTTTTTTTAAGATTTATTTATTCACATAAGAACTGGTGTACAAGCCAGAGGCATGGGGGGGAGGGGTGAGAGGATTCACCAGAGACAGAGTGGGGAACAGAACAGGCAGGTTGACTGACAGTTACTGCTGAGGGGAGCAGCGGGCAAGTCAGGAGAGGTCTGCTGCATCATGTGGGTAGCCCCCTGGCCACCTGGGGATCAAACTCGTGCTGCAGTGGCTGCGGACAGATTCATAGGTTGCTGAACTCCTTGCATCACCAGGGAGGCCCTAGTTTCTGTTTTTATCTACTTACAAACCTCATGTAAGTTGAATCAGACACAATTTGTGCTTTTGTGGCTGGCTTCTTTCACTTTGGACGATGTCCTCAAGGCTATAGCGTATGTCAGAATTTCCTTTCAAGGCTGAATAATATCTTGCTGTATGGACAGACCATATTTTGTTTATCCATGCATCTGTAGGTGCTTCCACTTTTGGGTTGTTGTGAACAGTGGTACGATGACTTGGGCATACAGATAACTCGTTGACATCCTCGTTGACATCTTTGGGGTATATACCCAGAAGTGCGGTTGTTGAATCATGGAGTTTTGTTTTCGATTTTTTTGTCTTGTTGCCTGAGCTGTGCCTCACTGATTCTCATTACTGTCCTGTGCCCCAGTGTGAAGAGACTCATGTTCCACATCTGTTGGTGGGCATTTGGTGACTGCCTGCTTGGAGGGACTGCAAAGAGTGCCACTAATAACATTATAGAGGGCCTATCTTTTGGTGGATATAGTCCTTGGTTTTTAAAAAGTACTCCATTGGGCACAGAGGTTAGTGTAGCATAAATAATAGATAAAGTATATAATGCATGCTCCCAGGGCCTCCGTGAAAGGTTCCTCAGGCTTGGACAAGCTTCCCTGGACAGGACAGGCCACATGTCTGCTACGCCTTCCTGCTCCCTGCCTGGTGTGTGTGCCCTCCTGGTTTCCAATTTATTCCCCCAGGAGGAGCCATCTTTGGTCCTTCATCGCACCCCTTGTCCATCATTTGAAGTGCCCACCCCCCCCTGAGCTGAATGGTTGAGAGTGACCAGATCTTCTCTGTGCCCAGGGATCTTTGGGCAGCGCTTAGAGGACACAGTCCACCATGAGCGGAAGTACGGCCCCCGCCTGGCCCCCCTGCTGGTGGAACAATGTGTGGACTTCATTCGGGAACGCGGGCTCACTGAGGAAGGGCTCTTCCGCATGCCAGGCCAGGCCAACCTGGTGAGGGACCTGCAGGATTCCTTCGACTGTGGGGAGAAGCCACTATTTGACAGGTGAGTTCCTAGGGGATACAGATGGGGCCACTTGCCCATTCCCCCTGCCCATCCTCTCATGGTGCCAGCTCCAGTGGGCAGGAGTGGGCTGACATCTCGGAAGCTTGATAGTAGGATGGTGGGTGGGATGGTTCCCCTATGTTGGTACATGTGTGCTTAACCAGATCTCCCAATGGGCACAAAATCACCGCAGCAGCCCTGGGTCTCCTGTCAGGAATGGGTGCTGCCACAAATGAGGCCCCAATCCAGGTAAAAGAAAAGGGTCCCCTCCACAGGCTCCATTCAGGACCCCAGGCCTCAGCAGGGTCTGTCTCTTGGCATTGCTTCTTCCCTGTGACTCACCCCTTCAGTGGCAACATGGAACAGTAGCTCAGCCCCACATCCACTCAGGTTTCAGGACAGGAAGGGAGTCCCCTCCACCTTCCTGGATCCATCACTGGTGCTTACCAGGTCCTCTGTAGAAGCCCCATCATGTAGTTGCCAAGACCAGGTCCTGCCCCTACATAGCCAGGACAGATGACAAACAAGTAAGCACACACAGGGAATCACCACTGGGTCCCTCCACCCTCACCCTGCATGGCCCGTAAGCACAAGCACAGAGTAGGGTGTGTTCCTGGTTCCCAGAGGGTCGTTGCAGCAGGCAGCCTGGTGACTTGTACATCCCCACTCCTGAAAAGTGGAGTCTGGTGATAAGAGGCAACCAGAGGATCAAAAGCAGGAAATATGGGCCAGGGTCCTGTGTGGAGAATTGCAGGGGACAGGCAGGAGACTATGGCCCTGTTCTGAAATTGATACTGACTTGGGGGGATCCTTGGAAATGAAGGGATGTCAAGGAATGGAGGTGTTACCAGATGGAGAAATTGAGGCTTTTGGTTATTTGCCTCAGTCCAGGTTGCTCTGACATGAGGGCAGAAGCTGATTTGGGCTCCAGCACAGGTCGCACGTCTGTGACTGCCCAGCCTCCCTCCACAAATGCAGTGAGCCTAAAGGAAGAAGAGGTTCAGTGCATCTGTACAGGAGGGGCTCACAGGCGGCTGGGTGCCCATAGTGCTGTGGGCGACAGGATGAAATGTCCTCTTTGGGTGTTAGGGTTGGGGATCCTGGATTCAGACAGGTATGTGTGAGAGGGAGGAGGAAGTGGAGTTCAAAATAATCACCTAGAAAAAGCTCTGACCAGCTGTGACAGGGAAATATTGGTTAGTAGGGTGGAAGATGGTAATGAAGTACATTCCCAGGTAGAAAGAAGGAGAATTCAAAAGTCAAGCGGTGGGCCACGTTGCTGGGCAGGGCTGGGCAGCAGAGACCTGTGAGCCAGATGAACTGGGGCCACCTCACAGGCGGGGGAAGGGAGGGCATCTCACAGGCTGGGGGCTGGACCTCCAAGGCCTAGCAGTCCAGTGATCTGTGGGCAGCCAGGAGCTTCTGGCAGTGTGTAGCCAATGAGATCTGCAGAGTAGAGGGGGCTCTCTGTCCAATTCTCCAGAATGGAAATAATTCCACCACCCCCACCAAGAGGAGACCTCAAAACAAGCAGTTGATCGCACCACTTTGCTTTCACTGCGCATGTCTTTCCAAAGGCCAAGCATGCCTGTCTTCTCTGCTTCCTGTCCCTCCTCCATCCTCCTAGGGCTCTAGTCACATGGCACCAAACCCACTGGCCTCCTTGAGAGAAGGGACCATTGGGCTAAAGCCTAGGAACCTTCTGGGGCTGTAGGCACCCAGTAGAAGGGGTGGGCAGAGGTGGTGGCCGGGGAGAAGGCAGAAGACATGAGCAGTATCCTGTGTGTGTGAATTTGAGATGCCTGTGAGTATATGGAATCCCATATATTCAGAATCCAAATGCCAGAGCTATTAGGGACTCTAGGAATTTGCTCAGTGAGACCAGTCTTGGATAGCCAGGACCAGATGGCAGCTTACTGGCACAGCCTCATTCCACAGGTGACAGGCTTATTTTTCCTGAGCACTTCTCATGAGGTCCAGAGTTTAAATCCAGGGCCTAGAAAGGCAGATGAAATACCAGGGGCCAGGTCCAGCTTGGAAATCAAGTTTGGAGGTGCCAGGACTATTCTAGGACGTGAACCCAGAGCCCAACATGATCAGGGCTTTCACCCACTATAGGGCCCCCCCTTCAGCTGTGTAGCTCTTAGCTGGGAGCTAGAGACCAAGGCCTACAGAGGCAGCTGGGGCACTGGAAATGAAGCGATGAGCATGGGAGCCCAAGTGTTCATAGTTTGAGTAGATGCCCAGAAGCCAGGGAGAAAGGGCCTGACGTCTGACCTGCCTGGTCCCTGCTACCCTGTGCCTGGGGACAACCACTCTTTGAAGTAGCTCAGCAGCCTGCACGGCAGGCATGGGACCCCAGTCAGGTTGGCATCAGCAAGCCCAGGCTCTGGCGAAGAACAGCAGGGCAGCTCCCACATCATCTTCAGAAGGCCCTGGGGATGTCCTCCAGGCCCAAAAGGGACACTTCATTCCCACTCATTTCTTGGCCAGTCGTCACAGGACCTCTTCACCTGTCTAAAGCACAGCCTGGGTTGTGCTTGATTCCTCCTACACAGAGCATTCACTGTGAGGGGAGCAGCAGCAGCATGAACTTCAGTCCCTTAAGTCCCTGTGAGGGAGTGCTGCTGCCCCCTTGGACTGACATAGACATGAGGTCTTCTGAGCAGGTGGGCTGTGCCTAAGTTGGAGCTCCAGTCCCTACCCTCTCTGACCCCAAACCATTGCTCCTGGAAGCAGCTGGGCCACTGACCAGGTAGCAAAGGAAGATCCCTGCAGGCACACCCTCACCAGAAGCTGAAAGCAGAAATTGCGCCTAGCAGGGTGGGCCACTCATGGTGCCCAGGCCTTATGAATGTTCCCTCACCTGCAGCACAACAGACGTGCACACAGTGGCCTCCCTGCTGAAGCTCTACCTACGGGAGCTCCCCGAGCCTGTGGTGCCCTTCGCCAGGTACGAGGACTTCCTCAGCTGCGCCCAGCTGCTCACCAAAGACGAGGGGGAGGTTAGTAGCTCCTGGGTATCCATCCCTGGGGTGGGCCTGCCAGGCACCAGATTGGGCAGGGGTACATGTATCATCAGTAAAAACTCTTGGGGACTAGCTGGAGCATGTTGTATGTTTGGGAGGGGGGGCCCTGAAGCATCTTGATCTAATGTGTATGGGAGAGTGACTGGAGCATCCCTCTCTGCAAGGAGGGGTAAGACTGGAGCATCCTGCTGTGAGTGGAGAGTCTCGGGTGGGGGGGGGCAGTGGAACATCCCCTCTTTGTGCAGGACCCTCCCTGTGTGTGGGCTCCTCCTCTGGTAGGGGCAGGCACCTCCTAGGCAGGCACATTCCCATCATAGAGTGCAGAGTGTCTGGCTCAGGTTGCCACCTAGTAGACAGTCCTCTTCACTGCCTGCTCCTCTACCCAACCCTGCTACCCAGGCCAGCCCCAGGCTTCAAAACAACCAGGCCTTTCACAAGGCCTTTCAACCAGGCCTTTCTACATCCTGTCTCCTCTGAAAAGAATTTGAGTCCTCCCAGTATAGAGCCCCCTCTGCCCCCCAACCACACACACAGGTGCCTGCCTAAAGCACCGTCCAGCTCCTGCTTGGAAAGAACTGTTTGCTCTCCCTGTGGCCATGTGGGAGATGAGGGTCTTTATCTGGCAAATATTTGTACCTCGATAAGTGAGCTGAGTGCTGGCCTTGACATTCCTCTGTGGCTCTGCAGAGGCACACCCTTCACAGCAGCTCCCTGAAACTAATCTGTTTCCTTAGGTCACCAGCCTGGCCCTGGCCTCCACTCGGAGGGAGATGGAGGGGTGGTACCTTCTGGTCACCTGGGCTGAGCCATATGGCCACAGATGGAATTCTGGCCTCTGGTTCCACTCCCCAACTCCTGCCCATCTCCTTCCTCTACCCAACCCCTCGCTCTAGAAGCATCCTGGGCCTAGGGCCTCATTGCTGGTGTTTGAAATGCTGTTTTCCTCTCTCAATCCCAAGGGAACTCTGGAGTTGACGAAACAAGTGAGCAGCCTTCCCCTGGCCAATTACAATTTGCTCAGATATATCTGCAAGTAAGTGGTTGGGAGAGCTTCCTTCCCTGTGCCCTGGCTCTGTGCTCTTCACAGGGGGAACTTGGGTCATTCTCTGACCCCACACTTGCCACTGTGTTGATCAAGCCAACAGGCAGTCTTGAATGGCTCACTTCTGAAACAAAGGGACACACCATCCTGTGTCTTCTGTTGTCTCTGGGTGCCTTTCACTGTCTTCTCACTGGCTTTGACCTGGGCATGTAGGGTGCCCCATACCCAGTCTTTTGCCTGGGGAGTTTGAACCTTCCTGGGCATCTGCCTTACTGCAAGTGGGAGAGTCACGTGTCCTCCTTCATGCTGATGATGGAACCTTGTCCCACAGCCTTTGCTTCTGACGACATTCCTTGAAGATCCTGGATCTTCCAAGTCTAGCAGAGGCAGCCAGCAGTACCTGTCAACTGTGGAAATGTGTGGGTGTGGACGGGGCAGGGATGGAGGCCTGGCATCAGGATTTACTTCTTAGCCGACTGTCTCTTCCTTACTTTACAGATTTCTGGATGAAGTTCAGTCCCACTCAAATGTCAACAAGATGAGTGTCCAGAACCTGGCAACTGTTTTTGGACCTAACATACTTCGGCCACAGATAGAAGACCCAGTGACCATCATGGAAGGTACTGGGTGTTACTGGGTGTACTGGAAGGTACTGGGATCAAAGTGATCCCAGCAAGTCCTCAGAGGCATTACACTGCACAGCCCGGGCCCAGGCCCGTGGAAGGGGTGGCTCCAGCAGCTACATCGCTGGGAACTCAGCAGGAACCTCTCTAGACCTCCTCACTAACCCCCTGTGTCCTCCTTCCATGCCAATGGGGTCTCCCTCCCCAGTGGGATTCAGCTATAACACAACAGGAAAAGGAACTCTGCCCTGAGAGTGGCAACAGTGGGTCTTTGGGTGAAGTTAGAATGGCAGGAGAGACTGGGGTAGGGCATAGAAAAGTCAGCATCTCTGCCCTTAAATACACACAGTTTTTGGCTTTACTTAAGTAATTGCCACAGGCTCCTGGATGTCAAAGTTTTTGCAAACCCTGGGGAATTTGTTCTATAATCAATAATAACAATGATAAAAATAGCAGCTATTTTCAGTAAGTCAGTGTTCTACTAAATGCTTTACTTCTATCACTTCATTTTAATCTAAACAAGCAGCCTTTGTTGCAGTTATTGCCCCCATTTTATAGATGAAGAAACTGAAGGCAGATGACTGTCCATGAGCAGATGTGCCAAAGGGCACAGGTGCAGGCTGGCATGGAAATGACAGCCCATACTGGGGGGCTCTGTGGGAGTTTGTCCTGGAGGGTTTGGTGCGCAGTCATGCTGTTCGCGACAGGACGCCCACCACCAGTCCCAGCTAAGGAGCGCAGGGGCCAGCCAGTACTCACCAGTCACTTGCATCTGCTTTCTTCCCTCCCACCGGCTGGATGGAGTGGGCTTGGAGGCACAGCGCCTACATCTGTCAGAGGAAGGGGATTCTCGGGCATCATCCTTCCGTCTTGCCTAGACTTGAAAGATGTGATTGCCATGCTTTCCTTTGGGCCACTGATGGCAAGCTTTTGCATAGTTCTCTCCAGCTTAGCACCCCCCACCCTGCAAAGTGGGCTGGGAGACTATCACAGTCAGCCTTTCTTGTTCCCTTTCTCTGGCAGGCACTTCCCTGGTGCAGCACCTGATGACCATCCTGATCCGCAAGCATAGCCAGCTGTTCACTGCAAGGCCCACCGAAGGGCCGGCTTCCCCACGAGGAGCCCCATCATGCACCGTGGGATGGGACTCTGAGGAGGTCACGAGGGACAGCCAGGCAGCGCCTGGCAGCCCCAGCACCCCAGGTCTGCCCTCACATAGGACCTCCTCTCTGGACGGGGCCACGGTGGCGGCGCTCGCTAGGACCTCTCCCTCAGGCCTGGGTGGCCGAAGCAGCCCTGCCACTGCTAGTCCTGGGAAGAAGGTGCAGACTCTGCCCAACTGGAAGTCTTCCTTCCGGCAGTCAGGGTCCCGGTCTGGGAGCCCTAAGGTGGGCAGCTCATCCCTAGAGGTGCCCATCATCTCTTCTGGCGGGAACTGGCTCATGAATGGGCTGTCTTCCCTGCGTGGCCACCGTCGGGCCTCCTCTGGAGATCGGCTCAAGGACTCGGGCTCTGTGCAAAGACTTTCCACCTACGACAATGTGCCCCCCTGTGGCCTCTTCCCCAGCACTCCCAGTGTGGCCAGCATTGGGTGGTCCGGCGCCTCATCCTGTGATCCCTCGATGGGGGGCTCAGTCAGCAGCTGCACTGCCTGCCGCGCCAGTGACTCATCAGCCTGCAGCTCCTTGCACACTGAGGGACCCCTTGAGACCTCCCCTTTCCCCAGTAGCAGTGATGACCGCAGATCCCCAGACTTGGGCCACAGCCTCGATGAGGTGGGCACCTGCATCAGCAGCAGTGAGCCCAGTGACCCAGGCAGCCCTCGTCAGGACCATGCCCGCCACTCTGAGACTCTTCATAGCCTGGTCACGGAGCTCAGGGCAGAGCTGTGTCGGCAGAGGACTGAATACCAGACGAGTGTGAAAAGGTAAAGTGATGCAGTCTGCTGGGTGGCCAGGCGGCAGCTCCTCTGTCCAGGCAGAGCACTCGTGCCAGCAGCTCACCCACCAGCCCCAGGTCCTGGCAGCTTCCTAGAAGCAGCACTCCCAGCAGCTAGTCCCCAGCTTCCTTTCTGGGAGAATGCCCCGAGTAAAGGGGTTGGGAATAGAGGGAAGTAGGAGTCCTAGGTGTGAAAACAGGAGCTGTCAACCTTTAATAAATGAGTTAGAGCTCAGGGAGGAGGCAGGCCCCCACAGTGAGCATGGGGACAGAGGCGTGCTGCCAGCCATCAAGTATGGGGAAGTGCCTATGTGCGGTCCAAGTTATGGACCTGCTCAGCTTGATGGGGAGTGAGGACTCTTTCAGGATGAGCACTGGACTTCCTCTAAGGATGGAGTTGGCTGTGCTGAGCCAAATCCTCCCTTTTGCTCTGGTCTTAGGGTTGTAAGCTTGTTCACAAATGGGCTCTAGTTTGGCTCTCGTAGCTTCCCTGTGAGGAAGGTGTTTCTAGCTCTAAGAGCCAATGTTTCCATGAAGTTAATCAGCAGAGCCTACATTGTACCTCACACAATACTTCCATCAGCATCTCAGACCCCTTCACCTCCTTGCCCCATTGCAGGCCCTACCTGACCCATGGGCCCAGATCCTACTTGTTAGCAGAAGGCAACAGCGAGTTCTGAAAGCTTCCTTTTTTCCATCAGAGACTGGAAGTGGGAGGCATTCCTGTAATTCTCAGCTTGGGATTTCACAGGGAGCTGGAACAGCAGTGTTGATCTTTTGGTTTTGTTGGCAGTACCTCCTAAGTACCTGGTGAGTGTCAGGCATGGGCAGGAACTGTGTCCTCGGGCAGAAGACTATGGGAAAGGGCTTTGATGGTAGGGGTCCTGGCTAGGGAAGGTCGCAGCAGGCAATACCTCGGCCAGGACTTAAAGAACTAATAGGTTTAAGGTGAGCAGGGAGGAGAAAGGACAAGCATGAGTGAAAGCCAAGATATAAAATTGTGGGGAAACCCACAAACATAAGCACAGGGATTAGAATTTAGTAAAGATGCAAAGTGAAATCATTACTGCAAAGGTAAGTTCACAGACAAAACCATAGAGTACATGGTAAGCATTATTGTGCAGAGCTGGCTGGAGACAAGATCAACGAAATAGCGTCTCAGGTTCTGGGCTGAGGGGGAAGACCAGACTATAGGAGTGGTTAGGAAGAAAGGTCAGGGGCTCAACTGTGGACCTGTTAAGTTGGAGATGTTTATGAAGTTTCTGAGTGGTGCTGAGGGCGATTGAGATTGAGAGGTAATCAGTACGCATGTAGATGGTGCTTCAAGTTTGGAGCCTGGATGAGGCCATAGGTGGCATAGAGGGGAGGCCTAGGCTGAGCACCTGTGGGTGTTCCTGGAGAGCACCAGGGAAGGAAGAAATCAGCAAAGAAGGGCTCTGATTAGAGGAGGAAGAGTGAGAAGGGTCAGGGGGAACCTGGCTGCCACTCACCTGGGGGCTCCAAGCTTCACAGGTGGAGGGTAGGGGTACAGGGAGGTTTGTTCCTTTCTCCATGTTGTGTTGAACATCTAAGGTGAAGGCCTGGGCCTCATCCTGGATGGCATGGGGAACTGATGTTTGCTCCAGTGTTGCACTGTGCTAGTCTTCTTTGCTCATACAGCTGTAGTGCTTGAGAGAAGGTTGTCCCCTACACTTTTAAGAAGAGGACACCAGGGCTCAGTGCAATTTGTGTCCTGTCCACAATCACAGGTTTAGTACATCTCTAAGACCTTACAGGAGGTCATGTGCTAGAAAATACAATGAGCCAATCTTTGTACAGTGTGTGTCAACCTCCACATAAGCACATGGTGTAGCTCTGTGGTGACCTACAGGAACAACAATGGAGAGGATCAGAGACACTTCACTGAGGATAAGACCTTTGAGCTTGGGTATGAAAGAAGAATAGAAATGAAAGAGACAACCCAAATGGGGTTTCCTGAAGTTGCAGTGTCCCCATGGAGGGGATGGGGAAGCAGGAGAAAGGCCTGAATGTCAGGTGCCTTATAGAAGAGCAAAGGTGGGGAGACAGTTTCCTGCTTCCCTCTCCATGTAAGGACCTGTCCTGCTCTCTGACAGCTTGGAGTCCATCCCTCACTGGGACAATTGGCTGTTTGGCTGCTCTGGAGGGTAATATTTTAGTAAGGGCTTAGTGAGGCCCCAAGTCTTGAGTACTGAAGGTACCAATCCAAACAGTGGCATCTCTGAACCACAGGCTGAGGAAGAAGTTTTCCTGGGGTGAGATCCTGTTGGCTCATGGGTAAAATACCAAAATCCTGTGAGGAATAGGTGAGGTCTGTCGGGTCTTGCCAGAATAAGGTGCTGAGTATCTTTCCCTGTGCAGCCACCTGACCAGCTCCATCCCCAACTATGGTACACACAGGCATGCCAGACCTAGCAAGCCAAAATCTAAAACACTGTCTTTCCTCTTGATTTTTAAGACTCGAAGAAAGTAGTGCTGACCTGAGGAAACAAAAGTCACAGTTAGAAGAAGAACTGGACCAGGAGAAGAAAAAGTACACGATGTTGGAAATAAAGCTGAGGAACTCAGAGCGGGCGCGGGAAGACGCAGAGAAAAGGAACGAGCTGCTACAGAAGGAAATGGAGGAGTTTTTTTCAACTCTGGGGAACCTGACTGCTGGAGCAAAAGGTGCCAGGGCCCCAAAGTAAAGGAATGGGAAGAGCTTGCTTCGGCTGAGTCGCTTGCCCTCCCTTCAGCAGAGATGGCCACCTGCCACCTGAGGAGCCAGAAGCCCCGGCAGCCTCAGTGGTGACAGGTTCTCCAGAGCCAGCTGGAGAGAGATATCCTGACACCCCAGGGAACTTCCAGGAGCCCTCACCCCACACGGGACCTCATTCTGTTCCAACCATGCCTGGTCTGGTGTCAGAGGGGATAGATAGTCCAGTGCCCACCAAAACAGATGGACCTGGGATCCCCATAGCACACCAGGAACATTCTGCGTTCTTTATTAAATTTGCTCTGGAAGCATGATGCCTGATGACTGACTCCTTTATGGTCATGTGAAACGGGGGTTACCAAGTGACCTCTACTATTTCTTGCAGACTTGAAAGTGCCCAAGTTATCCCCATGGGTGGAATGGTGTGGGCCCTTCAGAAGCAGAGTGTCAAACACCCTGAGTGCCGCCCAGCATTGTCATGGCCACTGAAACAAGATTTATGCAAATCTGTGTTTCATTATTCCTGTACTCAAGGAAGGACAATTTTTCTCACTCCTTTCTCCCTCTAGCCACTGGGCCAGATGGGCCTCTGCAGATGGTTTTCAGTCTGCTACCATAATCTGCTTTCTTGTACTTTGCCCAGTTCTGCTCCAGAGCGTCAGAGTTTAGCCTGGGTGTTGTACTCTATGCTTCTGAACCATTGGTCTGCACAGGGAGACAAGGCATGTTTCTGAAGGAGAGGTGGTCCAAGGATATGGGACGTGCCACTCTCTGTCCTCTGAGTACCTATGCCTCAGGCTTTGCCCATCTTCCTTCCAGTCTTCTCTTGAGCTACTGCTCCTCCTCCTCCCTTCCATATCCACTCACCTTCCTCCTTCAATTCATCCTTAGACTTCAAGACTCCATTAGAACAGGATCCCTTTGGTACCTTAGAGGGCAACAAAGAGATGGCCATGGCCTCTGAGCAGAGAGGACTGACCTCTGGGGCACAGGAAATGCCAGGTCCAGTGTCCCTTCACCTGCTGCTGCTCATGGCATTCTTATAGATTACAAAAGTGCCCTAATTTCTGACCACTGTGTCCAAAAGTCATTCAGACCTACACACCATAGAATTAAGTATAATCTACTGTGCCAATGTGTTTCTAGGAAGAGCTGGATCCACACCATGAAGTGCAAAGCCACAGGCCCAAGCTGGCTGAGAAAACCTCTGTGGGGAGGCAGGCTGACCACTGGTCACCTGCCAGCCACTGATGGCCTCATCAACCAGGAAGCCAGATGCCTGAGGGCCCCAGCAGCATCAACTCTTAAAGCTCTATTGGGGAACTCTGAAGGGGAGGGGGCAGTCAGTGGAAATAACACATGCATTGGTTCTCAGATTCCCTATCATCACAACAGGCAACCTAGGTGATAAGCTTTACCTGGAGGTGAAATTTTGCATTCACCTCTAAGTTAAGGAAAATGAGAAAAGTGAAGTGACTGGTTCATCAAAACAACTCAGTGATAGGAATAGGTTCCATGCTCCCCATTCAGAAGGGAAACTAAGACTTAGAGAAGAAAGGCAGGAACACCAGTGCAATCCTATGAGCTCAAGTTCCTGTGCCACATTCCAGAATTCTACTTTGACCTAGAAAGATACCACCAGGCTACCAAAGGAGCAGAAAAGACCAAAGAGAGTTCACATAACTAAAGAGAAGTTGTCTGTCTTTTTATCCACTAATGTTGGCAAAGGTTCAGCTTCTAGACAAGTCCTTGGCCAAACTAACTCATGAGCCACATCTGCCACCTGCTGGCAGAACTCAATGTGCAAGTGTACATTTTCTCTAAAAATTATTTGGCAATATTCAGTAGAAATTCCTTCAGTTTCCATTTCACAAGTACTGTCCATTCTGTCAAAAAAACCTATTGACTTCTGCCTTTAAAGCACACTGAGCAATGAGACTAACAGGTCCCCTGTCCCATCCTCTTTGGTCCCCATCTACTTTGGTTCTCTCCAGTTGAGGATATATTTACAAAACCTATTCCCAAACCTGTGGGTTCAAGCTGAACTTATTATTGTAATGACAACATTATACTAAGTAAGCCAATGAAATAGGCCTGAGAAAATATGACTAAATATTTTTTTAAACTTAACAATGATTTAGTTCGATCAGTAAGACACTGTTTTAAAATATTGTCACACAGGGGCCTCCCTGGTGGTGCAAGGGGTTAAGATACAACCTATGAAACAATCCGCAGCCACTGCAGCACAAGTTCGATCTCCGGCCAGGGAGCTACCCACATGGTGCAGCAGACCTCTCCTGACACGCTTGCTGCTCCCCTCAGCAGTATATTTCAGTCAGTCTACCTGTTCTGTTCCCCACTCTGTCTCTGGTAAATCTCACCCGCACACCTCTGGCCTGTACCCCAGTTCTTGTATGCATAAATAAATAAATCTTAAAAAAATAAAATATTGTCACATTAAATATAGATAAATCAACCATAAAAGAGTAGAAAACTGGCAAAAAAAATTTTAGGATTCTGCTCTCAGATTAAAATTGTACTTGGCTTTAAAGAAAAAGTTGGAAATTATAAATCTCTTACTAAAAAACACAAAGCACCATCAACATACTAAAAAAAATGCATTTTTAAGATAAATACAATTTTAAGGGTATGTGTGTGTATGTGTGCATTTATGATAGAGGCAGAAAGATATTCCCTATTTTACCTGAGTGTTGAATGATGGAGCAGGCATGAATCTCATTCATTTCACACTTCAGAACGATTTCATTCTGAACAGGGCTTCAGAATGGAGTCCGTATATCCACATTCCTTGGCCTGCGGGTAATAAATGAAGTCAGAAACAGCAGCAACATGTTTCACTGACTTCCCTTTTAATGCAGGGCCCCAGCTCCCTGCAGAGTTCTCCCAGTATCTGAAGTGGTTCTGTCACAAAGGGTCCTATCTGGTATACAGGAAGTTCAGAGCTAAGTAGATATGCGTTACCCCCACTGCTACTGCTGCCGCCCCTCTCTATTGTTGTATTCACCAAGAACCAACAACTTTGCAAGAAATTACTGCCCTTTCTATTAGGCACATCACTTCTCTCTCCATGCTCCATCAATCCCTGTGATACTGAACTGTAAGATGCCAAAATTGCGTGGTGTATGTCTGTGAGATAGAGAGCAACAGCTGTGGAAAGCATTTTGGCATGGAGCAGAGTTGGGCTAGTTCTGCTGCAGCTATAAGATCTTGGGGAGATTAAACTGATATGAGAGTAACCTCATAGTGTGATTGTTGTGCCAGCTATTTTTTTAAAGATTTATTTATTTATTTACACAAGTAAATAAATACACTGGGTACAGTCAGAAGCATGGGAAGGTTGAGAGGATTCACCCGAGACAGAGCGGGGAACAGAACAGGCAGACTGAAGAAACACACTGCTGAGGGGAGCAGCAAGCACGGCAGGAGACTTCTGCACGCCATGTGGGACCCTCGCCAGCCAGCCAGGGATCGAACTGGCGCTGCAGAGGCTACAGACAGCTTTGCAGCCCAGCGCTCAACCGCTGCGCCACTGGGGAGGCCCTGTGCCAGCTATTTTAAGTACATTGCATGTATGTTTCATTCAGTCCTTAAGGTAAAGTTGACATTATTCTTTCCACTTCACACTGAAGGACTTAGAAGCACAGCAAAGTTAAGGATCTGGCCCACAACCATACACAAGGTCAGTGGAGATGAGCTTCAACTTCAGGAGTCTTAATTTCAGAACTTAACTCTTATTACTCATGTTGAAAAGATGCTGGCTTGATACTTTTATACAACATTATCAGACCAGTCACGCTTTGATGGAGGGTGTGCATAGGATGCAAAATGAGTACCATAAAAGAGACCTCTAGATCAGACAGGGCAGGAGTCACAGGAGACTCCCTGAATGATGTGACACCTGAATTCAGTTTTGTATGATGAAGCATGTGAGTATAGCTAGATAAGGGGTGTGTGGATGAGAGAGGACGAGAGAGGGAGGGAGGGGAGGAGGGGGAAAGGGAGAGAGGAGAGGAGAAAAGGGAGGGGAGAGGAAGAAGGAGAAGAGAGGGGAAAGGAGGGAGAGAAAAGGGGGCAAGGCTCCAGCACGGAGGGTGGGATATGCTGTTAATCATTTGCTTTAGGACAAGCTTCCCCCGCTGCGGCATATTATATCCACCATAGAGATTCACAGGCTCTCCATATGGGGCTAGAGGGAATAAGACTATGGGCCATGGCTTTTGTACAACTTAGAATCTAGTGTTATAAGACATAACATAAAGAAGTGTTAAAAATAAGGCAGGCCCCAAAATGGAGTCACTTATGCTTTATCACCAAGCTGAGACTTGGTTTTGGCTCTCCCAGAAATGGAATCAAAGTAGTCAATCAGGAATCACCGTACCTGTCCTAGTTAGGTAATGTGGCTGATAGAGCACTGCTATCCACTAAAGAAAAGTAATTTTGCAATAACCAACTCACTCACTTGCCTAATATAACTTCCTTCTTCCCGCTCCCATCTGCCTATAAGTGTCTTTCAGTTTGTATGGTGCCTTGAAGTTCCTTTTTTATCTGCTAGATCCAATGCTGCCCAATATATGAATCATTGAATAAAATCTTCAAATTTTACTTTTGCTGACAGAAGTAAGCAAACATAAACAGGCTACATGAGATTTTGTAAGTGTTCTGAACAAGGTGATCCTGGGGGTGTATGTGAGACATGTTGGTGAGGAAGTGCTCTCTAAGGGTGATGTTTGAATTGAGACTGTAGGACAGGATGTGCCAATCATGCAACCAGACAGTTGCAAGCCAAAGGGGAAGACTTCTAAAATTAAGTCTGAGTGTCAGTGTTCTTGTCAGCATGGTGAGAGATGGACAGGGAGCCAGGCAGGGACAAAACACTATTTTTTTTTTTGTTTATAAAATTTTACATCATTGTTCCTTTTTTTTTTTTTAAAGCAATGTTTGCTTTCTTTTCTCAGGTGTAGTCCCCATAGAATTTCCACCACCAATTCACCCATGTTCTATCCCCATAGTCCCTTGTGTTCTTCCCGCCCTTGCTTTTGGGACCAGACACTTTAGAGCTGATAGTTGGGAGTTATTTTTACTCTAAGGAAGATGCGAAAGCATTGTAAGTCTTTAAAGCAATGGACATAAATTGACTTGCCTTTCCATAGGTTCCCTTTACCACTGGTGGGACATGGGTGTCAAATTTGGGAGCGGGAGAGAGCAAAATGGCTCAGGGAAACTAGTCAGGGAGCTATCACCGTGGTCCCAGTCAAATGTAGGGGAGAAGCCAGAAACTAAAGAGAAATGTGTTGAAGATAGAGAGGAAGAAGGTAAAGAATGAGAGGTGAAGAAAAGACATCAAACCCAGGCCAGTCCAGAAATCCAGATGTAAATGAGAGCGGAGAAATAGGGTGGTCAAGTGGAAGGGGGCAAGAAAAATGTGTCTATTTGAGTATGCTTGTATGCTGCTAAGAATGTGGTGGTAGAGAAGAGACATGATGAAGAAAAGAGCAGTAAGGAGAAGGAAGTCTGTAAAAAAAGTACAAGAGTTGGCTTCTGAAAGAAGAGGTGGGAAGACAGAGGATAGGTATAGCTGCAGATTCATTTATAGAAATGTATAATGAAGTTTTAGAGAAATAATGAAAAATGATGAACATGGTTATCATTAAGTAGCAGCCCCCAAACTTACTTGAATACGAAATTCTTCATTCACAAAATCTTGTCAGTCAGTAGAGCACAATGGTACAGAGTGAAGTATGGAGCCAAACTAGATTAGTTCCTGGCTCCACTATGTGTTGGTTTTGGAGCCCTGAGCAAGCTAGTCAGTATCTCTGTGCCTCAGTTTGATCATGTAAGAACAGGACATAATAGTCCACAAAGTTGTTGTAAAATCGCTGAGTGCATGAAATTGTTGTAAAACTAATTTTAAAAACTCGATGAGTATCATAAAGTTGTCAAAACTCTATGAGCTCATATAGAGAACTTAGTGATAGGCATAAACTCTCAATGAATACTGTTATTAATTCAACACAGAATTCAGTGTTTTGTGGAACAACTTAGGGAGATTGCTAAGAGGTAATGAGTTGCTGTAGGATTTTGGGAGGGGCCGATGATAATCACCTGGGCTGCAACTTCTGCCCCTCTTCCATTTCCTCATCTCTTCTCCCTCTCTCTTAATAACAACCTGGAGCTTGGCCTACTTCATTCTTTTCTATATCCTGCTCCCTAAGAGGAGAGTTGCTGCCCTCAGGGGAGAGTTCATTATTTAGTTCTCTAAGGCACCTGACAGCAGGTGGAGGGGGCATATCAGAATCACCTTGGGAAGCATGTAAGAAAAGCATCCTCGCTCATGGTTCTAATTCTGTATCAAGTCATTTTGTCCCTCTAACCCCTTTTAAGAAAACAGACACACAGAGAGTTTAGGCCACATGCTATAGGTGATACAACTACACGATGTCAGAATTCTACTTTGGGTATCTGGTATCACAGCCCATACTTACATTACTACTATAATTTCATATTAGTGTATGCAGATTCCTTACACCACATTTTGAGGACAGTGAATACTACATTTCGGAGGATAGAAGCAGAAGACAGTCATTAACTACTAACCCAGTACTTACTGAATGCCTACTTCCCAGGCACTGTTAACTAGGAGTAAGATGTTCTTCCATCCAAGAGATTCTAGAGCGAAATATCAGTAGAAGATAGGCGCACAGGATGCCCTCATAGAGTAACTGTCAGAAGCATACACAGCTAATTGCCAACTTACATCATCTGTGGAGCAAAATGAGAAGTGAGTGAGTAACTGGATACGTGAAAGTAAAAGTGATTGCAGAGTTTTATCAGGGGAGGAATTATTTGAGCTGGGCTTTAAGCAATGAGGATTAAAAATAAGCAAATTAGGCACAACCAACCAAAGCATGTGCACAAAGATGCAAGTTACCTGACATGGAGGAAGCTCACTTCACATAGGCTAAAGGGCAGGAATATGTGAAAGAGCTAAAACACTGTGTTTTAACTGTTCTAATTTTCAAATAAAAGTTCAATATGACTTTGAGGCATTTCTCTCAAATGAGGAATTCTTCTTACCAACTGCATGAAAATGAGGAATTAGTGGTGATGGACATGATGTCTTGGGATCAGCTCTCAGATGTGAAACCACACACAATTCCCCCTTCCTCCAACATTTCTCCATAGCTTAAGTCCTTTGTATTCCCTTCTAGCTCACTTTTATTCCTCAATTAGGTCTATTTTGTTTCTATTTCTTTCTATATATTCTTGATCTTGTATACTGAGTTCTTCCCATACTGAATCTGTTAGTTTATTAAGTTTCTACCCCTTTCTTATTAATTTTATTTGAGTTGAGTTGCTTTTCTGAATTTTATCTTTTGACTTGCTTTTCTGAGTTCTATGGTTATCTCTGAGTTTCTTTGATTGCTATTTCAAATTCTTTATCCATTAGGAGGATATAATCTTACATGTCTTTGAGTTTGGTTTCTGGAAAGCTGTGATTCTCTATCGGTGATGTCTTATCACCTTGAGATTTTTACATTGCCTGGATTGTTTTTTCCCTATTGGGAATCTGATTAGTAAATTTAGAACTGACATGTTATTTTCCAGAAGGTGGTGCTATGGCTTTATTTTTCTGGTTACTACAGGCTGCCATAAAAGCTCAGGTCACTAACTGTTGCTATGTCAGCAGTGTGGGGCAAGTATATAGGGGACCAGCTGCTGTCATGAACTATGGGAGTAGGGAGCCTGGTTTGTGTGGATGGCACCACTGCTAACACTCTGTGGGAATCCCAGAGCTGACACTCAGCAATCTATCTGCTGCCAGTACCCTTTACTGCACTAGTACAAATCCTAAGGAGTGAAGAGGGACAATAGTCTACAGTTTCCTGTTGTCCTTCTTGCCTATGTAGAGCATCCCAGTGACTGCTTTGGGCATTACCTGGGCCTAGGGTGTGTGCCTCCACAAACCCCTATGCTCTTTTCACCCCAAGGTCCCTGGCTGGGTCACAGCACTGCCATCTCTGTGCACCCAAGCTGCCTCATCTGTTCATCTCTACCCACCTTCTATCACACTGCTATGTCAGTCTCAACTTTCCTCCTAATGCAGTCTGTGTTGTTCTCTGTGGTGCAGGAGATGCTTCAGCCTCACCAATTTGCTGTGGAATTCTCACTAATGTCCCACTTCTGGATAATTGTTCTCTTGGAAGTAAAGCAAGGAATGTCCTGCTACCACCTTGAATTAAAACAAAAGGGCACTTTTTCCATCCCACTGTACAAAAAGGACTCAAATCTCTCAAATGATTATCTTTGACTCTCCAGACACCAATCTCTATAACTCTAGGCTAACCAGACTTACTCTTAACCGCCTATACAAAGGTATGGTTGTATTATTCCCCTGACAAGCTCCTACCGCTTTTAAAATGAACATAACTCCTCCAAAATGCTTCAGTTATGGTTTTCACCTTTTCAGTCTTATTGCCCACTATATTCTCTCTTCATATACCCACACCCATCTCTCATACCTTGTCTATGCATGCATTTTTAAGCCTCTGGGCCTTTCCCTGAACCTGGAAATACCCTTCCTATATCGTTTCCAAATACGTATCCACTGTGAAACCCTCATTTTCTTTTAAAGATTTATTTATGCATACAAGAACTGGGGTACAGGCCAGAGGTGCAGGGGGTGAGAGGATTCACCAGAGTGGGGAGCAGAACAGGCAGATCTACTGAAACACACTGGAGCAGCAGGCGAGACAGGAGAGGTCATCCGTGCCATGTGGGCCACCTCCCTGGCTGGGGACCAAACTTGTGCCACAGTGGCTCCCTGCGCCTTAACCCCTTGCGCCACCAGGGAAGCACCCCCCTTCATTTTCAATCAATTCCACCTACTTGTGTCCCTTCAAGGGTGAACCTTGTTCCTTAACACAATACTTACTTCAGTCAGCCTGACTAGAGTTTGAGTATCATTCATTTTGTCTCTCTCCTCATTCCCAGCTTTCAGCATAGGGTCTAAGACTCATTAATGCATTCACTAACTGAGGCATTTAAATGAAATATACTAGATGCCTAACATTTACAAAGCATATTTGGAGTATCTTTTAGTTTAAAAGTCCAAAGATATGACATATCAGCTGTAAAAGCTAAAAGTAATTTTTAAACCCCAAAGTACAAATCAATTTTCTCTTAGTCAATGGGTCTTTTAAGGAACATTATTTAATAAAGTTCCTAGATTAACAAGGATGAATTACTACTTATTTGGTGTCACCAGGCATATGGCTGGGTGGAAATTAACTCCATACTCTGATGACTGCTTTTCAGTCTCTCACTGGAGCTTCTCTAATGACTTGCCTAACAAAATGTTTCAAGTCAGCAACTTTGTCAGCTGGTGAAGCAAAGTGAGTCAGGTAAAAACAGTGCTCCATCCTGTCCTTTCCTCAGAGCAGAGAAGTGTAAGTACAGACATGTTGCAACAGCATGGATACAAGGGTTCACTGAGGAGATGAGCAAGACAAGAATCATACAGAATATGCTGGGTACATGGAACAAGCAACCTTGGTATCTACATAGCACCCTACCCCAAATGCAAAGAGAACATATGCATGGCATAAGTGTATGTCAAAGCTAAAATTACAGGTTTCAAAATAGATCCGTTAACAGTAGTTGTATTTGCCAAGTGGCCATCATGGCTGCTCTCTCTAGAGTTGTCAAGAACTAGGTTAAGGGCATTGAAGCAATTTCCCTTTTAGATAGTTTCCCCAGTGACTTCAAACAGCAGAAAGACAAGACTTGATAAACGAGAAAACCAGGATATTTTAGGTTATTTACAATCTGCATAAAATCCAGATCTCAGAAAGCTGCCCAATACTATCCCTTTTGTCCCAATCTACAGGAAGTCTTAAAATTGTCACATAAAATTTTTTACCACAAATTTACAACTTGCTTTCAATGAAAAAACTCTTCATTTCATAATTTTCATACCACTTTTTTCTTTTTTATTTAAAATATTATAACCAATTAACATACTAGATAACATTGTTTACATTCCAGTGGTGCATGTTTAATGACTAGGGCATAAATGATTAAAAACCACAATAATTATCTCAGCATTCTCTACAAAGTGCCCCATTTTGTTTTGTCTACAGGAGAGGAAAGGGAATGGAACACAGGGAAGGGAGTGGAATGAAGGAATGGCATCATATAGGGAAAAAAGGAAATGTTCATTATTATACTTAAGTTTTCAGGTTTTAAAACCTATTAAACAGGATAATCTGTAATGAGAAAATAGATGTCACAGTCCAGGTAGACAGCTAGTTTAGTTTAACTTCATCATTCAGCTAAAAGATTAAGAGCTTCTCAAAAATATACCAAATATCGGGCCTACAAAAGTAATTTATTTCTTCTTAAAATTTACTAAGATTTACTCCTTTTGTAAAATGTAAAGAATGGACTGGTATCACGAGCAGGTTTCCACTTACAAAAACAGAGAGTAATAATGTCCAACGAGCACATCTAACACAACTTTCCAAGATACACAGTGAAAGAATTTACACGTGAGTCTCTCTTACTGATGCAAGGTATATTTTACATACTGGTATTGTGTTGACATTGGCTATAAAGTATTTAACACACATTTATAATTCACACTCAGTAAAGATCTAACAGCAAGGGCAACAGCTTACTTGGGAAAGCATAGAAAATTAGTGTGAGGTAGTTCAATAAAAACCTAGTTTAATTTGTAAATTGTGAGAATAGAACATTGTGCAAAACTAATCCACAGGTATTATTTCTCAAAAGTTTCAGTAATGAAGAGAATCTAAACCAGAAATGGCCAGAAGTATTACTCTTACTAGACTCTCCTTAAGAGCACTTAACTAAGAGCAGTTAGTTTGAAATTAGGACTTTTGTTTTCCTTATTAGTTTTCTAATCATACCCCAAACTATACATTTCTGCTTCAATGCCCTTTACCTCTTCATCTTTCTTGCTATTAAGGAAAAACTGGTTTCCTCTGAATCAGGAAAAACCTAAGAGAGATCAATAGAAACACAATGTATACTAAAATGTAAAGGATATGGAGCGGCAACATTTAAGAGGCCTGCTAATGACAAAATAGTGGTGATTGGTTTTTCTACTGTTAAGAATTTACTGGGGGTCATGGGGCTTCATGCAGTCACTCTACAGCTAATGTATGACTAATGAACGACACTCACAAACTACAACAGTATCTTGAAAACAGACTGTTTTTACCTCAAAATGTTGTGCAGGCTTGTGCCTAGGCAACACTGAGTAGTTATAAGTCTTCATATGTGCAGCACATACTGGCCGATAACATAAACCAAGTCTTATCTATAACCCCAAAAAAGCTTCACTTGCCTGCTGCTGATATCACTGTCAGACACTGACCTCTTCTTCACCTTCATCTTTTAAGACAACAAAGCAGGATTAGCATGGAAGAGAATAATGAAAAGGCTTCCAGGAAAGCTTGCTGCTTTATATATAACCAAACTTCTCTGTATTGCTAAAGGGGTTATGTGGCAGCCTTCTCATTTAAGAGGTTGGCATTTCTCTTAGGAAGTCTGGTGTGAATGCACTATGCTCTTACCAACTTGAAAGCGTGCATACCAGGGACAACTAGCAGCCAAGAGTGTGTGACAAAATGAGAACTGTTGGGCAAACAGTATGAAAGAGTTGAGAAGTTCTATCTATATATATATTGTAATTAAGCAATCCCAACAGCACAATCATTTTACCAATGGTCAGTATACATCAAAGGGTAACAACAGTAACCAGGAAGACATGCAGAAAAAAATTAGTGTTCCTTTCCTAATCTATAAAGTTGAATGATAAATCTTGGCCAAAATAATTTTCTGGTAGTAAGTTGGGAATATTAAATATATAAAGCTGAAAAACCAAAATGATAAGATAAGCAAGGTACCTTTACATAAATACTGCTTGACAGAAGTTTTATTTATAAGTTCTCTTAAAAATATCCCACATATATTTAAGATGTTTTAAAGGTTCAAAAAGCTTCTAAAATAAATAGAACTAGAACATCCTTAGCCCAACAGATTGAAAAGAAGAGGGAAAGCTGTATTTAGATATTTTAAAAACCTAAACACAACATTTAATAAACAGATTTTGTTTTCAGGATATAACTTAAGTATTTTAGTCTATATTAACTAATAAGAATCTGTTTTCTCTGCAACAACTTAAACATGCTGGTTGGCAAGTGGTAGCTGGCATTTTACAACAAACGACACAGTAAAATCATGTGGTTTTCCTTGCTTAACCAAAATCTGTATCAATAGAGATGGCTTTATCAGCAATCAAACGTAAAATATGGGAATCTTCTGTCAGCATGTCAGTTGTTAAAGTGCAATAGTGAAATAATCTATTTTAGAGAAAATACAGCTAACTGTCAAACTAACAGAACACACTCATGTTCAACTTTTTGCTGAAATCCTAAATCCAAACCGGTTTCTACAATTAAAAGGGTATCATACTCTCAAAACTCTACTTTGGCAAATAAAATTAATGCACCATGTTGTGATGAAAAGGTTAGAAGTTTTAAGAGGTTGGAAATCATAACTTTAAACCATCAAAAACAAAGTTGCTATTTCAAAACATATATAAAGGCTAATGTAGTTTAATCCTAAGTATTGCACATTAACAATGACCTAAATAAAATACCTTACTCAAAAGAATTTTTGCATTATATATATGAATAACATGCTAATAGAACTTTCACAGAATGCATGTTGAGCTGCCCCAGTTCTTGCTCCTGGTGGTCATTAATACCAATACGTTTTCTGCCTAGAACCTTGTCACTTATGCATTTCCCAGTCAGTTCATTACATGAAATCCTTCTTGTTCCAAACAAAATAAACAAAAACAAAAAAAAACAAGGGGCCTGGGGCATTACAGACAATCTATTTCTGAGATAATGAGACTTCAATGACATTTTACTTAAGAAAAATTCAGTTATAGAGAAATAATTCTGCAGATATAAAATGTAAACAGTTAACATACACTTGTCAGGAGCAGCACCATTCTTACACTACTCAACATCCAAATTGCATGTTTTATTGAAAATCAGGTATAAAAAAATGAAACACTAAGACAAAATAATCACCACTTAAGCCTGCTCTGCTCAATGTGAAGAAACAGTCCTTAGAAAATGATATCCTATATATGGCTGTGTGCTACTATTTTCAGATGAACGGTATATTGCTCATTTGATACATTACACCTACAGAAATCTAAGTAGGTTTTGGAACCTCCCAACAGTTAGTACAAATATAATTATGCTAAACAGGTAGAATCAAATGGCCAAAAACACCATGCGAACCGGTGCTTAACTGACTGATACTTTAATAGGAAACTGGAAAGATCCAAGGATCTAAGGCTGCAGGAAAGGGAAAGACCAGACTCTAGATCATTGCTGGGACTTACAGCCTGAGCAGATTAACTCAGTGTATACAAAAAAAGGCTCATAGCTAGTAGAAATGAACCATCTGTTTATTTGTATTGAAATGCATTATTCATGAAGTATCCTCTTGACTTTATGTGATCATAAGTTTCAAGCATGCCACAAATTTGCAGCAAACACCATATTCTTTTCACTTATGTTGGGGGGGGCAGAGGGGAAGGAAGGTGGTGGCAGACACACAGTATCTTCAAAGACATATTCTAAATTATTCTGCCACTTAGACGATAGGGCTTTTTGCCAAAATTCATATAGGATAACCTACCAATTATAATAACTATGTTAAGATTGGCAAGTAGCAAATATTGGAGGTTTTCTTTTAACACGTTCATCATTTACAGTAGTTATTCCTGA